CTTGGCCCTGCCTGAAGCCCTAGGTTCTTCCTTCATCTCTGTATATAGAGTATCCCTCTTGATTTCCCATCATGCCCTGGATCACCAATCCAAGGCTGAGGGCAGTGTCTCTACAGTCCAGGTATCTTTGATTTTTGAGTCCCTTGTCATTCCAGATAGAGACCTTGGTTCTCCCTGAGGTCCCATAGAAGGACAGACATCTAGAGGGACACACAACAATAGTGAACCTAGGAACAGGAACTAGTGTAAAACCCAGAAGCTTCTCTTACAAGATCATTTCAAGCCAGGGCTGATAGCCTTGCATGGGTGAGGCCCTGAAGTCACAGCTGCATCACAATGTCCAAATGTCCCAGCAGCAGGGAAAGGCCCACGGTACCCAGAGGGGCCCACAATATCTTGTAGCGGGGGAGGAAGAGGAGGACTGTGACCTCCCTCAAAGACACCAGTAAGTTCCATTTTCTACCAACTTCATGATTTGGTTCAAGGGAGGGGGCCCTCTCCCTGATGGAGTGTAGGTTGTGCTTCACGGTGGAGCATCCTTCATTCTTTTGGGCTCTCGGGTTTGGCCTGGGTGAGCATCCCTGCTGCTTAAGTCTCTTGGATTCTTTTTTTTTTTTTAAAATGAGAAAAGGGACATGTTCAAGCTATATCAACTTATCCTGAATAAGCACACTTGGGATCGGCCACAGATGCCCACACAAACCTTGAGGAGAGACCAGAGCCTCCCGTCCTGCTGTTTCCAGAACCCTGAGCCAGGTGAGATTGGTGAGCTTCTGGTTTCTTGTGAGCAACAGTCAATGGTTTTGTGCTGTCTGCTTGCCTCACCCTACTGTGGGGAAAGATTTCCATCTAGGTGGAAAGGGATCCAGGTCTTGTTCTTCCCTGTGCCCTGGTTTATTCTCTGAAAGCAGGAAGCCCCATAACTCCCATGAGCAGCTTGGGACATATACAAAAAATTTCCTGGCCAGAAACAAGAGTTACAGGTTTGGGTGGATTTTGCTGTTGTTGTTGTTGGTGGTGGTGTGTGTATGTGTATTTTGGATGGGCCTCTCTATGTAGTCCTAGATAACCTGGAATTCATTGTGTAGCCCAGGTTGTGTTTGAACTCAGAGAGATCCTCCTGCCTCTGCCTCCTCAGAGCTGCTATTAAAGGCATGAGTTGCTATGCCTAGCCCCAAACATTTGTTTTAAATGAATGACCAGAAAACAAGTCAAGCTTCCTTCCAGGCTAACAGTAACGCCTAACTCCTGTCATGGGTTTTCACTGGCTCATCCTGCCAGCAGGGAATTAATTTCTGGAAGGGCCGGATTGTTCAACCTACCAGTCCCACCAGTAGGAGCATGGGGAAATCTCTGCTCCAGGCCTTGGATGCTGTCTGAGGACATTCTTGTTTTGGGGTTGGTAGATGTTGTCTGCTAAGTTAGTATGTTTTAAAGGCTTCCTTCACTGCAGAGTCACAGGAATAAGCCAGACATTAATGGCTATTTATGGGACTCACAATAGCCCAAGATAATTTGACTCTGGGTCTGCAACATTCCTTATCTCCACAATCATGACGTTCTATTCCACCAGTTCTCAACCCGGGATCTTAACCTCACAGGGATCACATAGCAGATATCCTGTATATCAGATATTTACATTATGATTCATAACAGTAGCAAAATTACAGTTATGAAGTAGCAGCAAAATAATTTTATGGTTGGGAGTCACCACATCATTAAAAGGCGGAAGCATTAGGAAGGTTGAGAGCCATGGTAAATCAGCCTTGTGCAGGCTTGAACACAGGTGCGGCCTTTTTTTTTTTTTTCTGGGAACTTCATTTCACCATGGAAAGGTGAGCCTATGTGTGACTTTGAAACCCAGGGGCAGTTGGGGCAGATGCAGCTGGTGACGCTATGCGGGAAACGATGCTATAGGCTTTCTTTCAAAAAACTCTCATGTCTGGAAGATGATGCTAACTCTTTTCACCTGTGCTCTGTAAGGGACGAGTAGGGCCTTGTTGAGACCAGTGGCTTCACAGGTGTACACGTGAATTTTGAAAGAAATTCTACCCAGGTATAGTGGTTCACATCTGTAATCCCAGCGCTAGGGAGGAGGCTGAGTCAGGATTGCTATTAATCTGAGTCTAGCCTGGACTACAGAGTAAGATCCACATCTGGTGTTGATAAGATGCAATCACGAGGCACCACCACACTACGGAGAGGTTGCTCGTGGAAGGAAGAGCAGGGTAATGTGGTGTCTGTCCTTATTTTCAAAAAGTTTTCACAGTCATTTTAGCTCCCAACAGCCACTGCCTGCTCAGTTGTCACTGCCATCCCAGAGACATGATCCTCACCAGAAAAAGACGATTCCCCAAAGCCTTGGAGAACCCCCAAAGTGCTAATTACCCTTTTAAGAGGAACCCAGTTGTCTCTAAGGTGTTCTGTGTCTACACAGTGGAGCACAAATACTAAACAAGGGGGAAAGGGGGACAACAGTTACTCCTAGCATCGTGACAGAATCTCTAGAAGAGGAACAAAATAAGCAAACAACAGAGTTATCTGGTGTGGGCTCAAATGGGACACTGAGCTGGGTTGAGATGGGTTAAGTTTATTAGGATTGTTAAGGACATAGGCAGACATGACAGCGTGGTCCGGGGCTCTAAGGAGAGAAATCAGGCCCCACAGGCAGGCCTCTTACTACAGCTCTCTTGAGAAGAGGATGTTTCCACAGCTGGAGCCCACAGGTTCTCTGATTTCCAGACAGGAAGCAGCAGAGGAGTAGCTTATGTTACCCCTCTATGCCTCTGTTGATATAACTTACTCCCTGTGTAGAATCTGAGCTAGAGATCCACAGACAGTGTCTCAGTAGCTGGTGTCTGAAAGGAGAAGAGCTATGTAGGACTTGTGGGGATAGAGATTCTGTGAGACCCAGCAGCACTAACCAAGATGACCCTGTCGACCCTTCAGCTCCTGGGGTTCTGGGTGAGGTGAAAATTACATACATGGGACCCCTGTTGTAGATTGTCCTGGTGTTGTTTATATTTTGATACTAATTTTGATTCCCCAAGAGGGGCTGTCTTGGATGAGGAGTGAATCTGTACTCAGGTGACTTCATGTGACTCTTCTCCCCATTTTAACTTGTAAAATAAAGGCTAGAGCTGGTGATTGGGTAGTGGAAGGTAAAGGTGAAGCTAAACGTCTTAGAGAAAGAGAGAGAAAAAGGAGGAGGGGGAGACAAGGAGAGGAAGGAGAGAGAGGAAGACAGAAGAGGAGGTGGAAGGAAAATGGAACAAAAACACATGGCCTAGAGAAACTGCAAGTTGCAAGGGATTTCATAGCTGGGGAATATAATAATGTCGTGGTGGATCTGCCTAATCTAGGCATGCAGCTTGTATTCATATTAATTGAGTTGTGTTTTCCTTACATGGGCTTATTTGGGTTAGAGATTTACCACAACAGACCCTAACCTCTTTTCTTCCCCAACTGTAATCTTTATGATAGAAGAGGAGTTATTTTAAAGATTCTTTTTATGTCACTCTCTGTGTGTATCTGTGTGAATGTATGTGTATTGCATATATAGCTACCTATGGAAGCCAGAAGAGGACCAGTCCCCCTGGAGTACAGGTGATTCACTGACCCATCACTGTCTCAGTCTCTCCTTCAAGATGGTCTGACAAATTCTCAGAACTCTGTGAGGTCTCTTAGAGACAAGTTCCCTCTGTCTGGCCCCAGTCTTCAGCCTTTTCCTCCCCAGTGTGAGACTCCTGGGGCAACTCCAATGTCTTGGGTTCTGTTGTTTAGTGGTCTCATAGCACAACTAATTCTAAAATATCTCCTGCTGGTGCTGAAGAGAAGTCTCAGTAGTTAAGATGCTCTAAGTGCCCACACTGACAGCTCACAACCACCTGTACTCCAGGGAGACTGGTCCTCTTCTGGCTTCCATAGGTAGCTATATACTTGCAGTACACATACGTTCACACAGATACACACAGAGAGAGACATAAAAATAATCTTTAAAATAACTCTTCTATCATAAAGATTACAGTTGAGGAAGAAAATTTTGGAGTCTGTTGTGGTAAAGCTCTAACACAAGACATTGGAATTGTCCCAGAACTGTCACACTAGGGAGGGAAAGGCTGAAGACTAGGGCCAGACAGAGGGAAAGCTTGTCTCCCAGAGACCTCACAGAGTTCTGAGAACTTGTCAGACCACCTTGAAGGAGAGACTGGAACAGAGACAGTGATGGGTCAGTGACAGACGGGACCACACCTTAACCAGGACTCTTAGATCCTGCCCTCTGTTTAAGCCTGAGCCTCATATCCTGACCCTGAAGAGGGACTTGGGGGTAAATGGACCTCTTTGTCCCTCTTGCCAACATGGTCATATTGAGTGAATCTTTCTCTGCTTTTTCACAGTTGGTTTTTAAGATGATATACTGGGGACAAGTGGCTGAGCCTGGCTTGTTGGGGATGCCAGGGCCCAGGCTTTTGCTGTGAAATGTGTTAACATACCCAGTGTGCACAGCTTCCTGAGCCCTAAGCCTGCCTAGCTGTGCAGCCACAGTTAATGCCTGTGTCCTTACATGCTGGAAAGCAGGTTACCTGGCCTCGTCCATACCACAGGGTCTGTCCCAGTTTGTCCACACCAGAGGTTTCAGAGATGATATTTCTTAAGTGTTGAAACTAGAGCAAACCAGGCTGACCCACACAACGACAGAAATGGTTTCATCGTGACCGATTTGTGGCCTAAGCACTCCAAATACAACTTTTTGTAAATGTTTTACTTGTTTTGGAGGGACCATCTGAAGCAGGCAGAGGCACAAAGCTACAGCCCAGGAGATGCTCAGGCCTGCAGGATGACTGAGTGCACAGAGCTGTTTAAAGCTCTCTGTTCCTAAACAGCACCTGCAGAGTGGCTCTTGCTAGGCCAGCCTTACTCTAGGTACACAGAGTCCGTAAGGGATGAGATAGGAATGATGTGGTCTCTCCCTGCAGGTGTGTCCAGGTCACCACAGCACGATGGACAAAACCCCCCTCATCTGTGACTATGGTTCTGGCTTCAGTAAGGTGGGCTTTGCAGGAACTCAGGCCCCTCGGGCTGTCTTCCCCACCATCCTCGGGAAACTGAAACATACTGTGAGTAGCCCCTGGCTTCATCCTCCAACCTCCCGGGATCCTCTGGTTGCTGTGACTGTCATAGTTCCCAGTGTTCTGACTTCCATACTGCCTGCTCCCTGTCAGATGGCTCAAGAAGGTGTCCTTAGGGACAGATGAGAGGCCATGAGCAAACAGCTTTCCTCCCGGTTGCAGGCTCTTCCGTACCCTCCAGTACGGCAGCTGCCTCTGGGTGCAGTTTCTCTTTATCTCTAGTACTTCTCCCTCTAGCAAAATACCACTTGGGTCTCCTCCCGCTTCAGGGACCCCCTCTCTGAGCTTGATTGGCAGTGCCCCTCCACACAGATAGTGACTCTCAACTTCTCTGTCATTCTGGCAGCCACGAGCTTCCTCTGAAGTGCAGTGGCTCACTCTCTGTAGTGTAAGGTCTTTTTTTTTTTTTTAATGGTTTTTTGAGACAGGGTTTTTCTCTGTGTAGCCAGGGCTGTCCTAGAACTCACTCTGTAGACCAGGCTGGCCTCGAACTCAGAAATCCGCCTGCCTCTGCCTCCCAAGTGCTGGGATTAAAGGCGTGCGCCACCACCGCCCGGCTTTTAAAGGCGGGGGAGAGTAGCCTGAATTGGGTTATGAGGCCCGCGAGGTGCCTCACCTCAGCCATTGAACTCGTGCTGCTGGTTGTGAGTCTGTTCCAAGCTCCGGCAAGGGTGGCATCCGCCCACCAGGGGGTGTAAGGTCTTAATGTGGGTTGTACCTGAAGTCATCCCATAGCCCCACAGGGAGAGGAAGGAAGCACATATTAACAGTACTGTAAAGTCTCTCATTTATGGGTGTGATCAGAGAACCCCAGTAGATGCCTGGCACACTGGAGAGTCCCAAATCTCCATAGACTCTTACGCAGATCTATGTAGCATGTGAGTTATAAGTCATATACCTGTGTACAGTAATGGAGAGAGGGACTGTGTGGGTGTGGCAGACAGTCATGGCAGATGATGTTTACAGAACCACAGCCAAGAGGGAGCACTGTGCAAAGAGCAACGTGGGGGCCAGTGACGCTCATGGCTGGTTATGTGGCATGAAGCAGAGGGCCATAGCATGGAAAAAGTCAATTTACCATGAAAACTATAAGCAGATTTTCTACTCTGCCTGTCTCCTCCCTCTTCTTCAGGCTTGCCTCCCCCTAGCCATATTTCCTGTCAGCCTTGCCCCGACCCTGGGCAGCAGGAGTAACCTCTAATGTTCAGGAGAGTCTACTTCCTTTTCTTCTTCTGGTGAGAGGCTCAGCTGTACTCTAGGGCCCGGGATGCTGATCTCTTCTTCCCAGGCCTGGTGACTGGCAATGAAGGCAGTGGTGTGTTCGGTGGGAGGCCTGGAGGAGACAGAGAGTCTGGACAAGGACAGAGTCATTCTTTCCATCACAGTCCTGGCCCACAGGCCACCCAGGGACAGGCCACCAGGCTAGTAAATGATGGCTTCAAAGCTGACCCCCACACTCACACAACCACACTCTGAAAAGCATCCGAGGAGGCACAGCATTGACAATGCCATGGTCTGTCCATCTGTGAGGCCTCACTCCACATGGTCCCAGCAGTGCATGGGGTTCACAGGGCGCTGAGGGAACTGTACCCACTCGACAGAGAAGTGGGTAGGAGCTTGGGGAGGTGAGCAGCTCACCTGAGGTCTTGGCTGGTGGTTCTCAGATGAAGTCCAAAGCTATAGAAAGGGCAAGATGGCTGAGAACAAGCTCTGGGCAGTGGGGCTATGACTGCCTTGAGCACAGGCCCGTGAATTTACTGTACTGCAGCATGCCTGCAGCATCCCTGGGATGCTCCACTGCTGCAAGGTAACGTTGCACCATGTACCATGCACCACTGCAGCATAGTTCCACCATGTAGCTGCATGATAACTGATGGTATCATGCACCCACGCAGAACTGCCACAGCCCAGGATTGCAACATTGCCCAGCCCTATGACTGTCCTGTCACACTCACACCCTGTCCCTCTCCCCTTTGCACTACTACCCCAGGAGCATTGCTTCCATCTAGCTTAAGCACTAGCTTACCCCAGAGACCCTGAACTCCTCTGAGGAGGGAGTGTGACTCAGGGGTTCCTCCACGGTCTTATCGAGCCAGTCTTCCATCTAGAATGGAGCGCCCACTTTCTCTGTTTCATTCTTTCTGTCCTCAGATGTGGACATAGCCTGCTGGCTCTTCAGTCTTTGTCCTTTCTGGGCTTCCTGCCCCTTTATCCAGCTAGCCCTGCTAAATCTCCATAGCTCTGATCCTAATGTTGGTTTTTTTTTGTGGGATTTGGTTTTGTTTGGTGGAATGAGGTAGATGCCCAGCCCCTCTTATAGCATGGAAAGTTCAATCTACCTGAAACCCAGGAGCCAGCTCATGCTGCAGGCCCTTTTCCAGCAAGCCTTCCAGAGCAAGTACGTAGGCTGTGCCCCCATGCCTTCCCTCTGGTAGTTTTTCTCTGTTGGCCTCCATTTCTACACCTGCAATGTGGGTGTCCTCACAGTGACCTCAGCAGCCCTGGACCTGGAGGCAATTGCCCCATTTGCTAGTGACCACTCCTGAAAGTGTGCATGGTTGGAGACCTTCCTCCATGTTCAGGCTGGTGATGGATAGGAGTTCCCAGCAGCCTCAGAGCACTGGCTTAAGTCTACACATGAAAGCCGTGTACGGTGGGCATAGTCTCAGTCTGCCACTCTCAGGGGCTGTCCTGTCCTGCCTGTGTTTTTCAGAATGTGCTAGAGGGATTGGAAGAAAAAGACTGGTTCATTGGAGCTGAGACCCAGAGTAATCGAACAGAGCTGAATATGTACTACCCCATCTCCCGGGGAGTCATCACCAACTGGGACAATGTAGAAAAGGTGAGCTACAACCTCTGGGGGTGGGGCCAGTCATGCCCTAGCCACTGCCCTTAGCACTGAGGAATGGTGTTTGTATGATTTTTTTGGGGGGGGGAGGGTGCTGCTTTATTTACTGAGTTCTTATATCTATCACCCTTCTAACCCTTATTCCACCCTACTCCCTTCCAATCCCACAACACTACATAGGAGAGAAAGGAGATTATAGGGGGAAGGGAGCATAGACCTCTTTTTTTTTTTTTTGGTTTTTCGAGACAGGGTTTCTCTGTATAGCCCTGGCTGTCCTGGAACTCACTCTGTAGACCAGGCTGGCCTCGAACTCAGAAATCCGCCTGCCTCTGCCTCCCAAGTGCTGGGATTAAAGGCGTGCGCCACCACTGCCCGGCGAGCATAGACCTCTTTAGACTACTTCCTGCTGTTTAGGGGTATGGAGTTCCTAGGGGCAAGTCCAATCTTTGTAGTCTGGATAGTTCCAATCTCTTCTTCTAGTCTCTTTGCTCATGACTACTTGATAAACCTGAAGCACCAGTAACCAGCAGCAGCCGCCTCCTCAGAACACATGCCAGCTCCTCCTGGGGCTCTGGCATTTATACCCTTTCAAAAGTTCCAAGCATTCCAAATGTCACACACTAGCAGAAACTATCACAGCAGGCAAAACCACACCCCTGTTAGAGCACAAGACAAATCATAATCACCTGCTGTGAAGCAGCCTCTTACCCCACACCTGGGATTAAAGCAAAAACATTCGTATAATATAACTGGGTTTTTTAAGGAACCAAAATTCTTGATACAGGAGGGACCTGCTGTTTGGGCCTAGCTCTGTTCCTGCTCTCATTGCCTTCATAGTCACAGCCTCGGGGATCCTAGTCAGGAGACCTCAGTTCCAGTCCTGCATCCTCTGCTCACTGCCCACACCACCAGGGCAAGGCATAGCCTCTGGGACCCTCAAGACAAAGATGCCTTGTCTATAAGATAATATGATTGCTCCTATGCTCTCATGGCTGAGAGGGAATGATGCATAAGAAGTCATTAGCCTTGGGGAAGTAACACATGGGTCTGACCAGCCGTCAGTGACACCTGCACTTGAGGGTGTGTTGCTTGTAATCTGAGCCCTGAAGCAGCCATGATGAAGCTCCACAACCCAAGATTTAAGCCTCTGACATCTGTTGTCTCATATCCCTCAAGGTCAAAGTGTAGGTACAGGACTATTGCTGAGGGCTATGAGGGAGAACTTGCCTCAAGCTTCTCCCTGGTTTCTGTAAGCCTTGCTGACAATCTTTGGGGGCTCTGTCAATCTTTGGGGCCTCTGCCACTTGTAGAGCATTACTTCAGTCTCTGCAGGGCATCTTCTTTGTGTGTCTTTGGATCAGATTTCCCCATTTTATCAGTGTAGTGAGAGTTAGATTAGAGATATACCATTCCAGTATAAGCTCCTGTCAGTGTCACCAATGACACCTGCTGGGAACCAAATCTTGGTCCTCTATAAGAGTGCTCTTAATCACTGAGTCATCCAGCTCAAGATAGGACCATTAAAGTTGAGCTGTGTGGAGGTATTCATTTGCCATCCCAGGTCCATGGTGGCAGAAGCAGGAGAGTTCAAGGCCAACTTAGACAACTAGGCCCTAGGTCAAAACAAAAGGTAACCAAATTAAAATGAGGCTTCTACAGTGGATCCTAGTTCATGTGACTGTGGCCTAAGAAAAGATCAGGACACAGATCTACAGAGCACAACCATGTGAGAAGATGAAGAAGAGACAGACCTCCAGATGAGCCATCGGTGACATCTCCATCTCAGATCTCCAGCTTAGGCGTGAATGCCATCCTGTTTTATCTGGATCCTGCCAGCTGCTTCTCTGTTGTTCCTGCAAGCCCAAGCAGAAAAATCCCTATCTCTCACCTGGAGCTCTTCCAAGAAGGTTCTTCCAAGCCAAGAGAGACAAAGACTATCAAAGATCCAATTGCTTATCAAAGAACTCTCTAGCTCCTCCCCTAGATCCTTGGCAGGCAGGCTGAACCTTGTCACCTTTATGGTGGGTGGCTCCAAGCCAAGTCAGTAGGGGCCATTTCACCTTTACAATCAGGTAGCTAGCTCAAGGTCATCCAGTTAACTTTGCCTCAGGTCATAGAGCAAAGACTAGAAGGCCTCTCCCAATGGACTTGCCTTAAAATCGGCAGGAACCTTTCATTCTTTAGCATTCTTATCTATGGAGGCTTTTAGAGGCACACACGAACTGCAGCTCTACAGGACACACGTAACTACATCTGACAAATGCAGTATCTATCTAAGCTTATATATTTTGCTAACAAGTTTTCTATCTACAATAATCAAATATCCTGTAACAGAGGCTCACTAAGGTCACCTCAATGGTCTTGAGTAGGCACATATTATGTGGCAAGCTTCCATCATTGCTGGGCTTTCTCTGTGACACCGAAACCACCTGAATTTCCACCGAATTTTGATGCATGCATCGGTCACCCATAAGACCCTAGAGACCTTTTAGACTGTGCTGATCCTGTCAACCCCCGCCAACTCCATTCCATAACTTCAGGCCTGGTGTATCATTGAAGACTGGATCACGCTGCATCTTTCTTTGATGGTGAGCTAGAGGTGCTGATTACAGTTCAGCCATCCTTTGGAATTAGGGTCTTGTCCAGGGCCTTTTCAGACATCCAGATCCCTGGATCACCGTGTGCAATGGCAGTACTTGCAGGATGCCAACCAAATCCTTTCATGTGCTCCACACTATCTCAAGTTAGGCTACAAAATCTCAGTGTTGTCACCATACCAATTGTTGGGTACTGAATTGCTTAAAGAATAGTGACAAGAAATCTGAGTATTTTCTCTGTAGGCACAGCTTCAACTTGCTACATAGTTTCAGATGGCCTTGAACTTTTGACCCTGTTGGATCTATGAGGTGGGATCCATAAAGTTACATATGACAGCTCACACGTGGGAGGCTTATTTAGGGAGATGAGGAGGGATACAGAGGCTGCCTCTAGGTGGAGAGAAGAAAAAAGGGGGAAGGGGAAGAGGAACAGAACTTTTTATCAGGGATGTTGTAGCACATGTGCAGGAGGACATTCAACAGGACAGTGGGAATGTGTAGCCTCTCCGCAGTAATGCCTTGTCCTGCTGTCACCGGGCCCCTTGGGCTGGACGTGGAGGTGCCTGATCACTAACATTCCTCCCTTTGGTTTATTATGAAGAGGAGGAGCCAGAAGTGGAGTGATGGGGAAGCTAAAGATGCAGGCTGCAGGCTACTTCCTGCCGGCTGGGGACAGTGTCATCTTTGGGGACCCTAAGAAAATTGGGATGCTGGCCAAATCCTGGGAGAACTGTCTGGTTAATTGCTGTTCAGGATCTGTTGAACCATCTGTGGCTAGGAAAGTGCAGGACCAGTTGAAGTGGTCTGCAAGGGTAGACCAGAGCACCTGTGGGTAGCTTCTCTGGAGCTGTCCTGGGTGCAGATTTTGAGCAAACACCTGGACTCGGTAGGATTCTGGAACACACACTCGTATTAGAGGCAGAAGGTAAAGTTAAGTAGATTCAGGAGAAAAAAAAATTCTTAAATGTACACTTGAAACTTTTAGGCTCACGGTCTTGGTAGTTGAGGGGAGGGGAGTCCCAAAACCAGGGAAAAGGGAAGAAATTTCACCCTTTGGGATAGGCAATGGGCGGGAAAATAAGTCTGTCACTTATACAGGGGTACTTATCCAGAGCCCGTTTGACCCATGGGAGGTGGATCTGAGTGGATTTCCTGAAGCTTATAAGAATCTTTTTTAAGTTTACAAAAAGAGATAAATTGTAGTCATGTTAAATTGTAGTCTGTACTGAAATCCATATTTTAGAAAAGGGTAGTAGATAGCATATTTGTGTTACAGTAGAGGCTTGGTAAACAATTTTTTGTTAAAAGCACAAGCACTCCTTAAGATAAGCTCAGGAAAGACAGAAATCTTCCATGAAGCAGGAGAGAAGGAGGGGCTTCTTCCCTCTATCCAGAAGGTAGGATGTATATAAATTTAGCATAATGGAAAACACCTGTAAGTCTATATTTAAAAGAACCAAAGGAAAGGTAAAATCTTGAACTGGTAACTATAATAGTGGATCATATAGTGAAAGGCTTTACCAGAGATAGACTAATAATTTGTCAGAACTTCTTTGATCCATGTTAGAAGTCTGAACTTTCAAAGTTCTAATATAACAGTAGCGAGAGGAAGAAATCCGAAGCAGTTATTATTCCTTTTATATACCTTAAGTCACCTTATCACCCTCTGGGCTTTCATTTGTAGTCATCAACCTAAAACACTTTGTAGACCCTAAAGTACTCTCTTAGATCCTCATAACTTAAGGTTCTATAGCTTCATATCTTACATAAACTTTATCTTTTTTCCTATTAATCATTTACTATGAAACCCAGGCGGTAGGTCACTGGCACCAGTCATTGTAAAGAAAGTTGAGGGCTAGTACCTACTAAGCATATCTGAGTTAAATAACATGTCATTCATTATCTGCTCTAAACTGTACCTTGTGAACATAAAACAAGAGGCCAAATAAAGATTAATCTTGTAATTAACCGCATCGGTTCTTTACATGACTTCAAATATATTTCTAAACATGAAAAGATTTAGCCATGTATATAAGCTTAGCTTTCATGACTTAACTTTCATGAGACTGAGGCTGTTATAGTAGCTTCTGACATTAGAACCTGCAGGAGGGGGAGGGGTGTGCTGGTCCCCCAGGGCAGGCCGAGGGCCTGGGTGTATGGACAAAGATGCAATTGCCACTGGCAAGGAAAGGGTCACAGGCCAGGGCCCAAGATGTCCCAAGGACATAGGTAGGACTAGAACCAGTTGGTATAAGCTGGAGAACCATGTCATTCATTCTGAGGCCAGTCAGGGACCAGGGCAAAGAGCCCCAGCAAGGCAGAGTGCTGGAGCAGACAGGACTCATCTAATACAATACCAGGATTCCAGGATTCTTGAGAGAAAAAAAGATTTAAAAAAAAAAAAAAGAGTGAAACTTTGCCTGAGGCAAAAGATCTGTGGTGAGGGGTGACAAGCAGGGCCAGCTATAACTATAGAGGCAGTAGCCGAGGGGTTCCTATGCTCCTAAGGACACAAGAGGGGTGCCAGATGCCCAATGGTCACCCCTTAGATCCAGGAAAGCATTTATGCCAACCAGGAAGGGAAAACTCACCAATATCCAGTGTTGGATCTGCAGATGTCCAGTGATCAGGTGGAGGACAGCAAGCCTGTGGCAGGCAGACAGGGTGGGGTCTGACCTGTGGCTTCATCCCCACTGTGGGGGGCACAAGCACCAGAGAATCCTAATCCAAGTTCTGGCACCAAATGTTGGATCTATTTTGGCAGGATCCATAAAGTCACAAGTTGACAGGTCTTCTCACCTAGGAGGTTTATTTAGGGAGGTAGGGAGGGATGCAGAGGCAAAAAGAAAAAAGGGGGGAGGGGAGGAGGAACAGGTCTTTTATCAGGGATGTGGCACACCCACGGGAGGAGGTGTTAGACAGGTGATAGATGACTGATATGTACACAGTGAGTGAAAACAATAAAAAAGGAAGGACATGGCTGCTCCTAGGTTTGGTGGAGGGGAAAGCTTATTGTAAAAGGGAGAGAATAGCCAGAGGCAGGGATGTCTGGCAGAGACCAGAGTGGACATGGCCGGATTGAACTGGGCCATGTGAGGAGGGAGGGGGAGGAGAAAGGGAAGAACCAAAGTAAGAGGCCAGGGGGGTAAGGAGTAGACAGAAGAGCCAGGTAACCAAAATAGTGGATTATATAGGAAAGGGCAGCTAGGGTAAGGACAGCCTAGCCCCTGGGCTGGAGAAGTTTAGGGTAGAAGATGGCATATGCCAGCCATGCCCTGTAACAGGTAGGCACTGAGGGATGCTGGGAAAACCTGGTGGCCTGGTCTACTTTGATGTGTTAAATAGGCACCTCAGCCATTTGTCCCAAATTTAGACCTAATTGATACATGATAGATAACAGATAGATGGTAGATTGATGATGGACAGAGACAGATGCAGATGAGACAAGATAGACAGACAGACAGTAGACAATATACAGGTAGTGAGATGAACAGATAGGTGGCAGGTATAGATAGGTGGTAGATTTACACACACACACACACACACACACACACACACACACACAGAGAGAGAGAGAGAGAGAGAGAGAGAGAGAGAGAGAGAGAGAGAGACTATTTGGTAAACAGAAGACAGAAAGGTGATTTAGATGTTGAATAGATGCATCAGATACTTAGATCGATAGATGGGTGATGGATAATAGTCAGTGTGGCCTTGGAGAGCCAACAGCTCACCTGCCGTCCTCTCTCCCGCAGATTTGGCATTACTCGTTCTACCACACCCTCCGAATCGCTCCTGAGCAGCACCCTATCTTGATAACAGAGCCACCGTTAAACAGCAAGGAAGCTAAATCCAGAATGACTCAGGTACTGGGGCCTGGAGCCCTCCCTGCAAGGCAAGGAGGGAGGTTTCTGCTCTGTCCCGACTTCAAAGTTGCCTTGTTTCTGCTTTGGGTCTCATCCTAGTCCTTCCTGCCATGATGGAGTTGGTAAGGGTGGACTCCAATCTGTGAGTGCTCCTGCCAGAGCACAGATAGCAGAGTCTGCCTTAGGCTGCAGTAGGGCTAGCTGCAGTGGCTGCAGGAAGCTGCACCCAATCCCAACTGTCAGAGTCCTCATCCCAAGGCTCAGCTCCTCCTAAAGAGGCAAGTGAAGGAACCAGGTAGCCAAACTTGCCCATCTGGCTAGCAGGGCGTAGCCTCCCACATGCAGGCCAGGGCCAAGGCATGATCTGCACATCTCAGAGGTCACTTAGATCTGGAAACAGCAGTTTTACCCATCATGATGCAGGTATGAGCTCACATCAAAGCAGCCCCAAACCTGCTGCTGACACACATCCCCCACACACCCCCAGTGTAGACAATCAGAGCATGGAAATGCCCACAGCTGGCTCCCTGAGGCCTGGGCATGGCTGGCTTCACTCAGAAAGCATCCAATGTCCATGGTCTCAGCAAACTAGATTGGGATAAGAGGGGTGAGACTGCCTCAGCTCAGCTGCCCGAGACACTCTTCAACTGAGGAGGCCTATGAGGAGCTATGCAGCAGGGGCTGAATAGCTGAGCTCTGCTTCGACCTGCTGGGGGCTCCGGGGCAGCTCTGTCTGGGTGGAGTCCAGCTGGACAAAGACACATAGAGAGGAAGGTTCAAGTCTAGTCCTAGAGCAAAAAAGCAGATGATTGGCTCCTGTGGGGTTTTCCCCTCTAGTATTCTCCTCCTCCTTGAACAATCCTCCTGCTCTCCTCAGCCCCTGACTGAGTACCACTGGTCCATATAGAAACTTATAAGTATGCTCACGGCAAAGTGACTCCTACAAAAAGGTTCACTCTACAAAAAAGCCCTCTCTGGGGCCATGCCTTCAGTCACCAAGGTGATCGGCGGTGATCTTTGGTACAATTATTACAAGTGTTAATCTTTTAATTTGACAGGAAAAAAAATAAAACCACCCAACTCCACTGTCTTGAGGGAAATTTAAAGCTAGCATTTATTAAATATTACATACTTACCAAGAGATGGACTTTGCTCAGGACCATGCCTCAGACTTTCCCAGCTGGAATGGCCTCAAACCGTGTGTTACAGGGGCTTATAAGAACAAACGTATAGGCCACAGTAGTTTCCCATGAGGCTTTGCTATTTCCCAAGAACTACAATTCACAACCTTCCAGGAAGTTAGCTGGTTCCTGGGCAGGTGGGGCTTGCAGGTTAATTTGGAGTTAACACACAAGGCATGTGTGGAGTGTTCAAAATGCTAGTACAATGCAAGAGCTTGGTCAAACCAGCTGTTTAACAGTCAAAAACAAGCAGGAAGAGTGTCCAAGAGACCCTAATTAGGGAGTTAGACTGCTGTGCTCAGTGACAGGAAGATGCGCCCCAAAGCATGCTGACAATCTGAACTCAGACCTTATCATAACACTAACCCATTTCACAGTGCTGATGATACCTATCCAGCGACCAGAGAGAGACAGAGCTCCCAGTGGATCTCGCCATCACATCCTGATCCAACCAGTCTTTCCACAATCCATTATAGAAGTATCTAGAGAGCTAGTGTCCTAATTAGCATTAACTGTCAACTCGATACAGCCTAGAATCACCTGAAAAAAAGAGTCTCAGTTAATTGCCATTATCAGTTTAGCCTGTGGGCATGTAAGTAGGAGATTGTCTTAATTGTTAATGGATGTAGGAGGGTCCAGCCACTGGGGGTGGGCAGCATCCTTCTTACAGGTGGTCCTGGGTTGTATAAAATCTAGAAAGCTAGCTTGAATATGAGCCTTTGAGTGAGCCAGCAAGCATTGTTCCTCTCTGGTTCCTGCCCTGATGTGATGTGTGGCTCATCATGAACTTCCCTCGATGGTGAACCATGACCAGCAAGTATTCACCAATAAAACTGTTTCCTCCCCTAAGCTGCTTTGGTCAGAGTGTCTTTATCACAGCCACAGAATGAAGCTAGAACAGTCATTTCACAGCAGAGCCAGCTGGAGGTGGTTGCTGCCCAGCCCCAGGCTCAGCCTCCCTGGATCTACAGCTTGCGGCAAGATGTACTCATGAGCCCGGGGGGCAGTGTGTGCCACCTGGCCAGCCAGCATGCCATCTTCCTCCCCAGATTCTATTTGAAACCTTCAACTTCCCTGCCCTGTACTCGGCAAATCAAGGGGTCCTCTCCCTTTACGCTTCTGGCAGAACCTCTGGTGAGTGACCCTATGGGATCCCATCCTTCCAGATACACGTCTAGTTCTTGGGGTTGGGGACACTCACCACAGCAATGCAGTCTCTCCCTAAAAAAAAAAAAAAAAAAAAAGCATAGGTGGGGGATGGCCATAGAGGTCAGTAGGTAAAGGAGCTTGCTGCCAAGCCTATGCCCCAAGTTCAATCCCCAGAACCTACATAGTTGAAGGAGAGAACTGACTTTTTTTTTTTCTGGCTTTTCGAGACAGGGTTTCTCTGTATAGCCGTGGCTGTCCTGGAACTCACTCTGTAGACCAGGCTGGCCTCGAACTCAGAAATCCGCCTGCCTCTGCCTCCCAAGTGCTGGGATTAAAGGCGCGCGCCACCACTGCCCGGCTGAGAACTGACTTTTTAAGATTGTCTTCTGACCCCCACATATATACAGATGTGTGAGTGAACACACACACACACACACACACACACACGGCACACAAGCTTGAGGTGTTCATTTAAAAAAGCAAAGAATACTCTTCAAGGCTCATAGTGATCCTCACTTCATAATAAGAGTCCTAAAAAAAAATGCAGAGTGGGGCAAAATTCAAAACAGCTGGTAAGATTATTGGGTGCCCAAGTGTGGTCTTTGTTTTTGTTCTTTAAGAATTATTATTTTTTTAAAGTATGTGTCTATGCACATTGGCCTTGGAAACTAGAGGAATGGATCCCCTAGCACTGGAGTTAGAAACATATGTGAATCCCCTGCCAGGTCCTCTGCTTTTAAGTGCTCTAGGCCCCAAACCATGGTTTATATGGTGATCGCAGAAACACCACTGCCCTCTATTTCCCATAAGCTGGTTCTCCAGAGTTAAAATCTTCCCCACAGTCCCTCCCTAACTCCCCATTCTCTTGGGGCTCCAGATTCCCCCTCCCTTCCAGATATTCAGGCTGAGTCACCTGGCAGTCTGTAACTTTTCAACCTAAGATTAAACTGAAAATTGGCAGTTGCCAGCTGCTAGCTGGGGAAGACAGGGCCTTGATGCTTCCTTATCTTCGGTCCTCTGGTGAGCTCTAAACACACTGTCCTGAAAATGGACAATAATGAATTCTATTTTACACACACCTGGCTCTTGTTCTGACTCCTTCCCTTCCTTATCCTGCTAACACAGAATGCTTCCAGAGGTTTTTTTTTTTTTTCTTAACTGATCTAAGGTATACTGAATGAAATTAACAGCATTAATGAGCTCTGACACACGGGCATGCTCTCGAAACACGATCACAACCACACCCGAGGATCCCACCCTGCCCCTGCCACTCACTGCATTTTCTAGCATTTGTGGATGGAGCTGTGCAGCCAGCATTCGGATGTCGATGGTTTTTCACCTGTTCACTATGTGGAGGTTCTTCTGTGCTGTCTCTGGCCTTGATCGATCAATTGGTCAATAGCTCGCTTGCTCTTCTTGCTGAGCTGTGGTAGTGTGGTTCCACATTAGGAATGTGCCAAGTTTTTGTCTACTTATCTGTGAATAGCCGTTTGGGGTGTTCAGATTTGGAGGGTTATGATAAAGCCACTATGAACATCTACAAGTCTCTTCCTGTAGCATGTGGAACAGCGGTGTGGCCCTCTGTGGTTACTCTTCTACTGTATGTGACAGCATACTAGACAGAAGCAGCTTAAGGAAGGAAGGGAGGATTTGGCTCACAGTTTGAAGGCATTGTCCATCTCTGCAGGGAAGCCATGGTAGTAGGAGCGTTCAGCTGGCCACACTGCAGACAGAGATGAAGGCTGGTGCTCAGCTCACTTTCTTCTCTGTATTCAGCCCAGGACCCCAGCCCACGAGATGGTGCCACCAATATTCAGGATGGGTCCTCCCTTCTCAATGAACCCAACCTGGAAGCCTCATCACAGATATGGATTGTGCCAAGTTGACAATACTAACTGTCCCAACTGCCAGCTCTTGGGATGGCCAGTCTTATTGTGGCCATTCTCATAGACATTCAGTAATGTCTCCTCCTGCTTTTAATTTGTGCTTCCCTCATGGCCAAGGGCACTGAGCATATGGCTGTCCATGTGTACTTCAGTGATGGAGTGGCTCTCAGGTGTTTTACCAGATTCTCATGAGTTCACTGGTGTGTTTTTACAGCTTTCTTTCCAGTCATGCTGACAGGGCATTTATCAGATTCCAGTTATGCAGAGCAGTGCTCCTACCCAGCTTCCACTTCTCCTGCCCACCGTCTTTTCAAGAACAGGTTTTCATTTCTACAAAGTCCTGTTTAGCAATGTTTTTAATGTTTGGTGCCACACTCAAAAATCATTTACTGGACCCAAAGGTTTTCTGATTTCTTCTAGACATTTATAGAATTTAATTTAACAGTCAGTTCTGCGGTCCATTTTGATTGTTTGATTGTTGGGATTGTTAATGTATCCCATAAGATAGGAATGAAACGTGTGTTGCTAGTTCTGTGGTGTTTATTGAGAAGATCCCTCTTAGCTATGGACAATGGATGGGTGCTAGGGCAGGGAGGGTGGCTCTCCTTTGGGATGCCATCACAAGAAATCCACAGTTCTCACCTTGAAGGAATAAGAGGTAGCTTATTATGGAGCCATTTTAAGTGACAATGGCCAGGAACAGAAGTTACCCCAACTTCCATCTTCCAGTGTGAAAGCAGTTTTATAGAACAAAGGAAGTCAAATCAAGGCAAATTTAAAATACCTTGGTGGGTATATCAGAGAAGTGCTTAAGTGAGATGGAGATGCTTTTCTATATGCTATCTGATGGCATTCTTTTCTATATGCTACCTGATGGCATTCTTTTCTATATGCTATCTGATGGCATTCTTTTCTATATGCTATCTGATGGCATTCTTAGCTTTTGGGTTGTTGGAAGCTAGTGGGTGTGCTCAAGTAATAGATTCCATTTTTTTTTTTTTATCTATTAGTCACAGCACTTTAGTCCCAACACAGAGGTGGGCAAGGAAAGGCTATTCCAGAGGCTAAAGCCAGCCTGAGATAAGGTAATTAGTCTCTGGACCTGCAACCTTCCAGTCTCTCCATAATAGTGAAGTTCTGATCAGTCAATCATCCTCTGCAGACACAGATTTCCAGACATTCTCGTTCACAAGGGATATGGCTGCTAGTAGGTCTCCAGCCCCTCCATGCATGCCCTACACCCATGGACATATGGGCAGCAGTAACTGGACTCGGGGTTATCAATAACAAAAACAATGTGGATGACATGAAGTTGGAAACAAGAGAAGATGAGCTACTAGAATTGGAGATAGGTAATGACAGAGATGATGGAAATGCATTGTCTAAATACACATATTAAGAAAGAAAGTAGGGGGCAGGAAAGGTGGCTCAATAGTTAAGAGCACAGGCTGCTCTGTCAAAGGACCTAGGTTCAATTCCCAGCACCCTCATGGAAGCTCACAACCTTCTATAACTGCAGTTCTAGAGGATCTGAGTCCCTCTTTTAGCCTCCAAAGAAGGGCACCATGCAGGCACGTGGTGCACACACACATGCACACTCACAGGCAAAACACCATACACACAAGATAAAATTGAATAATCTTTTTTTTTAAAAAAAAAAAAGAAAGAAAACAGAGAGGCTTAATGTGGACCAGGGACGGAGACAAGAGGACAGGAGGAACTGGAAGATAGACAGCAAGACCAAGCTAGCAAATACAGAACTGGCTCAGTGAAGCCTGTTATTTTGTGCCATTATTAAATGCCAAAATAAATACATAAATAAATTACATTTATTCCCTTTCCTTCCCTTGAAAAGCCTGTATGCTTTTTGAAGATGAGTTTCCTGTGTACACACCAGCTGACTTCCGAGCCCATGGCCTGTTCCATCAATCTTTTGTTGTTGTTTTCTTTCTGATTCTAGGTCAATATCAAATGTTCTTGATGCCATGGCTCATACTGAGTCTTTCAATGAGGTGAAGTTTGTCTTACCCTCTGGATGGCCTGATTTGGAGATGTGGGCTCTGCTAGGTCTTCAGCATTCCTGCATGGATTTTAGAATCAGGTTATCAGTTTCTAAAAGCAAGTGAAACCAAAACCCAACAGATCCACAAAAAACAAAAATCCTCAGATCCATACCGCTATGAAAACCCTTAGCACCACACCCCTACAAAACCCCTCGGGTCTATACTCCTACAAAACCCCTCAGATCCACACCCCTACAAAAGCCTTCAGTGCCACACCCCTACATAAACCCTCAGTGCCACATGCCTTTGGGTTCTGCTTGGGGCTGTGTTGAAAAATGTGGTCAACTTTGAAAAAAAGCCAGAATCTTATAGGCCTCTAGTAGACCCTGGCAAGTCTGTGGGCTCTCTGGATCCCTCTTGGCACTGTGACGGGACTTTAGGTGTCCAGGCCATGTCTGTCTGTTATCAGACTGTCACACAGTTTCTGATACTGTTGAAAGTGGTACTACTTGTTAGGATTTGAGTGTGAAATGTCCCTGGCAGACCTGAGTTCCTATGGGACTGTCAGCTGATGGGGTTTGGGCAGTGGCTGGATTCCCAGGGCCCAGGTTCCTGATGGAGTCACAATCCCACAGTGATGGGTGCTGAAAGCAGGGTCTGGTTGGAGGATGTAGGTCATGGTAGCATGGTGGCATGCCCTTACAGGGTCTGTCCATCCCCTGCTTTTGTTTCCTCTATTTCTTGTCCGCCATTTATGGAGCATCTGGTCTAGCCTGAGCTCCTGCCATGAGCTCTACAGTGGGCCAGCTGCATAGACCATCAGCCAAAACTCCTCCCTCCTTTTAAATTATTTCTCTTCAGCAATTGTCACAAAGATGAAAAGACTAACATATTTTGATAAAAAGTGAAGTGTCTGTGTGTGTATGTGAGTGCATGGATATTTTTTTTGTGTGTGTCTATGTGCATGCGTGTGTTTGTGTAGCTGTACATGTCTTCCTCAGTAACTTTCTGTCTTATTTTACTTTTCTAAAAACACTGTCTTGGAGCCCTTGCTAACTAAGGCACACACCTCTGCCATCATGTTCAAGCTTTCCCAATGCAGGGGCACCTCCCAGAGAGACCCAGTGCCTACCCACACACAGGCAGCTTCTTCTTTTATCTCTTGGGCAGCTATTAGTAAAATTGCATGTTTGACTTAGCAAGAAAACCTACAGGCTTATATCCACAGCTGGTGGTCAGCTTTCATTCCAGTTCATGTCCTTTGGGAAGAAGCTGGCTCCTTGGTCCCTCTCCCTTCCTTCCCTTCTATTATTTCCCCTCCATCACCCCTTCCTACAGAACTAACACTCACCAAGGCATGCCGTGTACCTCACATCATAATGACAGAGTGTTCTCTTATGTAGGAACAACTATTGAATCTGGAGATGGGATGACCTACTTCGTGCCCATCATTAATGGCTATCCTTTGCACCTGTCAACCACCAAGCTGGACATAGCTGGCCAAGACCTGACACTGTACCTCATGAAACTGCTGTCAGACAATGGGAATGTGTTAGAGACCATAGGTATGAAACAGCTATTCTCAGACATGTAAACCTGGGTTGTGTAAGGTCCTTCACTTTCAGTGCATGTGTGCATAGGTATATTTGGAGACTAAAAGACAACCTCAAGTGTCAGCCTCAAGAATGCCATCCAACCTCTTTTGAGACAGGGTTTCCTGTTGGCTTGGAGCTTGCCTATAAGGATATGTATGATTATTTTATTGTAGAGGAGAGTTGACCAGTACCTCATAAGCAGCAAGGGCCTTAGGTCTTTGACTAGGGCTTACACAGGGTTGTTGTGGTAAGTCTCCAACCCAAATAAGCCCATGCAATGAAAACACGACTCAATTAATATGAATACAAGCTGTGTGCCTAGATTGGGCAGATCTCCTACTACCCTACTCTATTCTCCAGCAATGAGATCCCTTATAACTTGCAGTTTCTCCAGGCCTCGTGCTTCTGCTCCATTTCTCTCCCACCTCCTCCTCTTCCATCTTCCTCTCCTTCCTCTACTCGTCTCCCCCTCCTCCTTTCTCTTCCTCTTTCTCTAAGACTTTTAGCTCCACCTTTCCCTTCCACTGCCCAATCACGGCTCTAGCCTTTATTTTACAAGTTAAAAGGGGGAGAAGGTTCACAGGAAGCCACCTGAGTGTGATTCACTCCTCCTCTGAGGCAGCCCCTCTTTGGGAAGTGGAATTAGCATCAAAATACAAACAGCACCAGGGCAATCCACAACACCATAGCACAGGGTAATGCTTATCCCCTTTGTGTCCACTTCCTGGGCTAGATTCTTAGTTTATATAATATGCATGACACTGGTTCCAAGTAGGCCACTGGCCTTTCTGGTCTTAGACAAGGAGGCCTAAAGAACATCAATCAGAATGATGGAGAGAACTGATCAGGTTGGAGTCCTTGCATGTTCTTGGCTGCCTTCTCTTAGAGAGAGTATGAACCATCCATCTGTTCTCCCAGGACTCTCCCAAATGCTGATTATGCTCATCCTTGCAGATGAAGAAAGTGGAAATTTAAAAAGGATAACAATAAGAGAAAAAGGAGAGAGAGAGAGAGAGAGAGAGAGAGAGAGAGAGAGAGAGAGAGAG